ACACACACACACACACTGTCTTAGTTACTTTCATTGATGCGGAGACAAAATAGTTGTCACAGAAGACTTTAAAAAGGAAACATTTCTTTTTGTTCATGGCTTGTAGAGGTTCCACTCTAAATTTGGCTGGCTCCAAGACAGGACACTATGGCAGGGAGAATTTCTCACAGCAGAGCAATAAAGAAGCAAAGAGAGAGAAAAAGTAAGTTGAGTCAGGGGAATGAGACATGCCACAACCCCAGTGGCCTGCCTCCTTTAACCAGGCTCACCCCAAAATGTACATTTAGCTCTAAATGTACAACCCTACTAGTCCACTAATGATTATCATTCCTTCATGTTTGAATCACCTCCCCAAAGCACATGACGTTTGGCGGGAACATCTAGATACAAGACATGACTACTACCTATATAAAGTCTACAACTAAGTCCTTCCAAATCTTCCATATATACTCACACATGCAGAAGTTGAGAATATTGGTTAAAGTATAAAGAAAAACAAAAGGAAAGTCTACATAAAGATAAAAAGATGTTGACGTCATTGTCCTCATAAGAAATATCATACCACAATGATATATATGCACCCATTTTTATAGCAGTGCAATTTGTCATAACTAAATCTTGGAAACAACACAAATAACCATTCCATTGAGGAATGCATAAATAAAGATGTGTTATTTTTATACAACGGAGTATTTCTCAGCTATGAAAAAACAAAGTTGAAGTTTTGTTATTGGTAAATGGATGCAACTAGAGAGCATATTTCTGAGTGAAATAAATTAGACTCACCAGTATAAACATAGTTATGTCTCCCTAGTGCAAAAACCAAGAAAGAATTTGGTACCAGGAGTGGGGTCATTGCTGTAAAGGTGCCTGACCATGTGGTTCAACTGGAAAGGTTCAGAGATATTACCTGAAAAAGTAGAGCAAGACTATCTTAGGTTGTTCTGTATAGGAGGTTATGCTCAGAGATCAGAAGTCCAGAAAACTGGTAAAAGCCAGGCTCATGAGCTTTCTGCTAAAAGACTGTTTTGTTTTTTGGACTGCCGACAATGTATTTTATGGCTTGGAAGAAAGTTTATCTAAATTTATTTCTTTCTTGTACAGATACTCTGACTGAGACTGAGATCAAGGGTGGTAGACTAGTTAATCTTGCATTGGAAATTTCAGGGCAGTAGACCATTCAAGGTGTAGCATAGTTATTGATGTGAAATTTTAGCCAGATCTATGTTGTGAATCAAGAACAAACAGCAGAATGATTTCAGCTGAATGATTTAAAACATTGTGAGTTTGTCCAGAAAGGAAGCTCCAATTCCAATAAAGCTATAGACTACAACAATGATGTAGTTGAAGAGATCTTGATTGCTGAGAAGGAACAGGACAATAGAAAAGGTATCCTGAGGGCATCACAAGAAGCAGCAAATCTCCATCATTTGTAGTCCTCAAACTGCAAATGTAAAAGTCTTTGCTTTGAGAAGAAAGCCATAGAGCACCATGTTCCAGAATAGTGGTGGCATACAAAATTTGATGCTCAGACCTGGATTCACAGTGCCCAGAAGTCTAAGCATTCAATCCCTACAGCCAAGTAAAGGGAAGTCCAGTTAATTCTGCAGCTGGCAGTAGACCTTGACATCATCTACGTGGTGCTGGTTTTAGGAACATGCAAAATGAAAGAGTTGTGGGGTCATAAAGGTTTCTACCCTGGTTTCAGAAGCCCATAGACACCAGGCAGTGTCCCCCTGAGAAGGCAGTGTATGAAGCTGTGAGTGGTATGTGAGATCCCAGAAGTTTGGAAGAGTCAGGAATGTGGATTATCTAAGGAAAGTGGAATGGAATGGAGCCAGGCCAGCCTATGAGAGCAACCATGTGAGCTTTAAGCACTAGTAAAGTTGTAGGGATGGAGTCACTCACTCCCTTGGGCACTCACAATTTGCCACAGATTGCTTGAGATGCTGCATATGGAACTACAGAACTCAGTGTTTGTCTTGCCGAACTTTGGACTTGCTCTGGCCCAAATCATTGGTATCTCCCTGTTTATAACTTTTGGAATGAAAAGTTTCTCCTGTGCAATGGAATGCTAGAAGGGTTTAACTCTTCATTTGTTACAGGGACTGACAGATAATAGTTTGCTTTACATCTCAGGCCAGACTTAGACTTTTCAGCAATGTCGAAACTGTTAGAATTTGGCAGCTCTTGCAGATGGCCTAAATGTCTTTGACATAAATGGACATGCATGATTCTTTGGCAGTATAGAGTTGGAATGTTATGATTCTAAGATAATATGATGTTGATAGACTTAATATTGGTTATTAAGCATGGCTGAACCTGTGTTATAGTTTTCAAGAAGTGAAATGTTAAGAATAAGTATGTCTTTGTAACTAGAAATGGTTTAAAGCAATGTGCCTAGTCCTCAAATTGACAATGGGGTGGATTGTTAGTGTTGATACATTGTGCCAACTTGAGAAGTCTAGAAGGATAATTAATTGATTCATCAGAGGGTTAGGGTCCTTATTTTGTAAACATTCTAAGCCTGTGCAAGAGGAGGGCACACAGATGGCGTGAGCCCTACACTTGCCCTAGGAGGTTGTAGACTGCTTACAATATAAGAACAGAAAAGAGGCTTGCCCTCCCCACTTTGGATCTTGTTGCTTTTGCTGTATACTGCCGCTTTGAAAGGTTGCCCCTGGGCCATGTCAACCTGCCTTGGTGCCAGCTAATAATGGATGGAATCCCCCACAAACTGTGAGTTAAATAAGACTTTTCTTCCTTCATTTTGTATGTAAGCTATTTTGTCTCAGGAATGAGAGTAAAGTAACCAAGACAACCTCCATATATACATAGTTTGAATGCAATCCTACCTGTATCTGCAGAGATTTTTATTTCTCTTATAGATAAGCTTCAATGTTAATAAGTCACATTTCTAGAAGAACTGTCATAATGACTTAAAAAGCAGGTTTCTCAGGGAATAGATACATGATGATTTACTGTGCTACCTGAAGTGAGTAGAGCAGGCTGGCTTACACACCAACTTTAGAACTTTATAATTTTTTTCTCAACTTTGCAAAATTGAATGATCAGGGAAGCCAGGAATTGCCAGGATTCACCACAATGAAATAGGACAACCATCTCTTTGTCTCTTTCAAATAATAACATACTTCAAAATGAAATGAAGTATGACTATTTGCCAACCACATGACTTATCAACCCTCCTAATTTTGTTCAGCTAATTAACAGAAGAAAAACTGAACTCCTAATTTTTTTGTTAATTTCACAATGATTCCACTATGCCAGCCTCATTCTAGATAATGTCCACATGAAAGCAATATGAAATGACTAAAGTTAATCAGTATTGGTGTTAGAATTATGCTTTCTTTTGGAAAATTTAAATAGAAATTCCATTTCCTTCTGTAGCTAATTCACCTCTCTGCCAGGTGTCCTCATCTACCATCTATCTAAATATTTGTCTAAATTCTTCTTATTTTACCATTGTGTTTTTGTGTACAGTAGAATACACAATATTCATTAATGGGATTCAACTTTCTGACTTATTTTAAGCTTGCCCTTTGTATTTTATTTGCTTCTTTGTTTTTATTTGGGGAATACGAGAGTTTACTCTTGACCTCCATGCAAATGTACAATTCTGTCCTATTTTCAAAAATCTAAGGGTGTACATTAAGCGTACTGATGTCATTTCATTCATCCAGCAGAAACACAGGATGCACAGCTGGGTCCACGCCCTGACGTCACTGATGAACTGAGCTTCTGTCTCGGGCCATGTTCGACGTTCTTCCCGCAACAACACAAGGGAGTCCTTTTGCCTGGCAGGGTCAAAGCAGGTCATGTGGAACAGATGCCTCACAAGCAAAAATGGACAGTACACAGTCAACTGTAGATGCCTCTGTTCTACACTTTCACAGCTCAGAGAGAAGCAAACCGAGCTTCAGAGAGATCAAGCCATGTACTCAAGACGGCAGTGCTATGGCGTGAAAAAGGTGAAATTCAATCCAAGTCCATCCACCTTCAAAGACAATAACGTCATGACAAAAATAATAAATAAATACATAGATAAGTAAATGTGAAATGTAACATGATCCCAAAGAAACTAGTATGCTCACACAAAACTGCCACTTGAGACTCTTGGAAATATAATAGGTTATGCTTTGCTTTTGCTTTTTAATGCACTAAGACCCCATTTATTTGAGAAATATTTGTCTTATGCCAGCCAAGTATGAAAAAGAATATTCAGAGAGACCAAAAGAAAGCTGGAAAAGCTGCTCTTCCCTGGCAGATTGGCTCAGGCTCTGGTTTTTCTAATACACACAAAACAGAATGATAAAATAGGAAGAATTTAGACAAATATTTATATATATGGCGGATGAGGACACCTGCCAGAGCAGGTGAATTAGCTACAGAAGGAAATGTTGCCCAGAGATCCAACTCGAGCAAAACCTGACACATTTTACAGTTAAACTTAATGCAAATCTGCTCTTCAATTTATCTCCAAAGCTCAATAGGGGTGAGGGATTTCTTTGTTTTCTTTTGCATGGACAAAGTACTCATAGTTGCACACTCTCCACTCCGCACAGACAAATTTGTGAGGGCAGAATCTCAGGCTTTTACATCTCACCCAGACTTACCATGTCACCTATATAATCCGGTAACAAAACCTGTCCCTTGCAAGTAGGACAGCTCCTGCCATTATTGTAATGCACCAATGCAGGCAACTATAATGAGTATTTAATTTAATATAGATGTTGACTGAATACCAGTGCAAAACACCATGCATTTTTAAATCAGTCATGATACATATTAATTCAGTCCTTATAATAGGCTATTTTCAATAACAAATGGAAAAGGACAGACTCTCAATCTTGAGGTAATTTATAACCTACATGAACACATATTCTACTTTTAAATCTTTCATATTTTATTGGCAAATAAGAAGGAAGCTTGATGGAACTTCTAATTTTGCCTCTGCAAGACATTTATTTTTGTATAAGGAATGGAATTCTGAGAAAGAAATTAAGTGCTTTGCTGTATTATTAGTTCTAGGAATGTTCATTTTGAACCAATATTTGTTGAGACACCTACTATGTGAAAGACAATGTTTCTGGTGATAGGTCACTAAACAAAAAACCAAAGCCTTTTCCCCAGTAAACTTAAATAATACCTGGGAAAGACACACAGTATGGACTAAAGAAATGAATACACGACACCACCAAGGATGCCAGTACTGTGTAAAGTCAAAAATTTAAGTGGGATAAAGGAGATAGAGAAGTAGCAAAAGAAATATGGAATTATTTCATATAAGATCATCATAAAAACTTCCCTGGTAAAATATTCATTGACAATTGGGTGAGGTACTGTGGAGATGGTTGTCTTAATTTTTGATGACAGAGCATTCCAGGAAGGAAAATACAAAAGATGAACCAGAAGGTGAAGGTGGGATGGAAGGAGGTCGAGGAGACAAATGTCACCATAGCAGATGGAGCTAAGGAGAATCACAGGTGGGGAGGTTTGAGATGCAAGGTCAGCAGAATCATGCAGTGACCGCAGGCCACTGAAGGACTCTCATAAGTCCTCAAATGGAACTGAGTATGCTTTGAAAAGCCTGAAAAGAGGAGGATTGATAAGTTTAGTCCACACAAAAATGAGTAAATGTGTGTCTTTC